TAGAGAAAGTGGTCTTTAAGACTTAAGAGAATAGGATTCAGACAGTTGAGGTGTTAGGAAAAAGCAGGGGGGTACCATAATCATGGATACTGGTTCATTAGAATATGTAAAGATATAATATGTAAAGAACCAAGAAATGTTTATAGTTTTGCTACAGTAGAAATATGGGGAGATGACTAGTGGGAAAAGAGACTAAAAATACAGGATCAGACCATGTAGAGTACTGAACGTTAGAGTACACAGTTTGTTCCAAGAGCAATAGCAAAACAACCAGAGATTAATTCCAGAAAAATAATCTGGTTGATACAAGTCTCATTTCATTCAAGGGAGGGGAGATGGGGACAAACAAAATCTAATCTAGAATCTCTCATGCCACTAAAATACCCAGAAGGTATCCTGAAACTCTCAGAATCTAATTTTTCACAAATTATAATTTTTCCCTCACTGTAGAAAGTATGAACTATGTATGACAAAAAGTCTATATATACTAAATAAGAAGCATAGATATACACATGTATTGTTATTAAAGACAGGTAGTTTCAATTGTAAAATTCACAGATTATAAAGAAAGCTCATTCAAGGACTTCTAAGACTCACTGAGTGATTTATAACCCTAAACTAGTGACAGAGTATCAAGGTTTCATACTCAGAAGAAATTTAAGATGCAAATTGTCAATTCCACACAATGTGCTACAAAGAGGAGAAAAATAACAAATTGGGATCCTTTTTAGAACACCTATGTTCTAAATATAAAACACCTATGTTCTAAAATATATTTTCACTTACAAAAAATTTATAGTGAAATCTATCATACTACTACCCTGATTATCCAAAAATAGGATTCTTAATAAAACTGCATAGCACACAGATATTATGAATATCTGTTTTTAAAAACTGATGTACTAAATATTAATACATACATGGAGGCAATTAACATAATTGGGTCTGTGTTTGGGGACTTAGTCCTAATTCTGCCACCAACTAGGTCTGTGATTTAGGCAAGTCAGGAGCCTCAGGAGAAATTGCTTTCTTCCTCCAGAAACAGTTGGTGTCTCTGAAGCAACTAGCATGATTTTATTTTGTAGATGCTCTCATGTAACTGAAATTGTTTAGTTCATTGCCTGCCAGGAAGGTCAGAGTTATATTTGTAGTATATCACTAGCTACAGAGCTTTTGATGTTTCCTTTGTACACTGACTTCATATTAGTCTTCATTTATTCAAGTAAATAGTTAAGCATCTGCTATGTGCCAGGGCTGAGATTACAAGCAACCAGCAAGACAGACTGAGTCAGGGAAGGTTTTGATAAGGTAAGATTTGAGCACAGAATTTGACATAGAGAAGAAAAACAGATGTAGTGATCTGACAGAAAAAACTCACCCAGGGCTCATTTTTCTCATCTGAAATATGAAAAGTTTTTACTACGTGATCTAAGATACCTTCTAGTCCCAATATTTGATGAGCTGTGAAATGATTCCAATTCAAGGAGAGACTCTCATATCTCCTTTATACTTTTGAAATGTTATTTACTTAGATATAGATGTCCCCATCTTACATTATAGAAAATATTTTAAGATGGCTTAGATGTATTATAGTTGGACTATCTCTATTATTTTATAATCAATTCCAAGTAATTTTTTTTTTTTTTTTTGAGACAGAGTCTCACTTTGTTGCCTAGGCTAGAGTGAGTGCCGTGGCGTCAGCCTAGCTCACAGCAACCTCAGACTCCTGGGCTCAAGCGATCCTTCTGTCTCAGCCTCCCAAGTAGCTGGGACTACAGGCATGCGCCACCATGCCCGGCTAATTTTTTCTATATATATTAGTTGGCCAATTAGTTTCTTTCTATTTATAGTAGAGACGGGGTCTCGCTCTTGCTCAGGCTGGTTTTGAACTCCCGACCTCGAGCAATCCGCCCGCCTCGGCCTCCCAGAGAGCTAGGATTACAGGCGTGAGCCACCGCGCCCGGCAATTCCAAGTAATTTTTATAGAATTTTCCTATTTTAATAGTTCAAAATGGACTACACTGATATTCAAGGACACTTTTTAAAAATGCATAACCATTTATGCTAAACATATATTTTAATGATTCATGTAACGATTCACATCCTTTTCTTACAGGTATTTCCTAGGATTCTATCCAGTCCTCGTCTCTTCATACTGGCTTATCACCAGTTTGCACTATCACATGAAAACTGTATCTCTCAAATCTATATTTTATCCCAAATCTCTCTTAGGGTCCATACCCATATATTCATACCATATATTCATCTGCCATTTTACATATTCTATCTGATGTTGTTATTTCAAATTCAACTGACTGAACATAGAACTCAATTCCCTCTCCTGTGACAATCCATTCTTTTTCTTCTATTCATCATCTCAATGAATAAAACCAACATGTACTCAGGAGCTCAAGCCAGAAATCTTATCTGCTCTAACCCCCCATAGCCAATTAATTACCAAATCCTATTGAACTGATGTCTTTTATACCCTTCTTCTCTAATATTCTTTTTTTTAAAAAAAAAAAAAAGATGGCATCTCACTATGTTGCCCAGGCTAGTCTCAAACTCCTGGATTCCAGTGATCCTCCTGCCTCAGCTGAATAGCTGAGATTACAGGTACATGCCACCATGCCTGTCTTCTCTCCAATATTACTTAATTTGAACCCTGATAATTTCTTAATTCCCTGCAATAGCTTTTTTAAAAACAAATTTTATTGAGGTATAATTTATATATAGTAAAACAAACAGATTTTAAACATTATAGTTCAATGAGTTCTGACAAATGTAAACACCCATGTGACCACTATCCTACCAAGATATACAACATTATGTCATCTCAGAAAGTTCCTTGGACCCCTCTGTAGTCAATTTCAGCACTCACACCCCCACTTCACTTCAGGCAAACATCACCGAAAATTCAGGTAGCCTGTTCCAGAGAATCATATAAATGGAATCACTCAATATATATTAATATATTTTTTGGCCTGGCTTCTTTTGCTCAGCATAATTTCTGGGAGATTCATCCATGTTGTTGCATATATCAGCAATTAGTTTATTTTTATTGTTGAGCGGTATTCTAGTGTATGAATACACATTTGCTTATCTACTGCAATTGCTTTAAACTGCCACTAGACTCATGGACTTTGACCTACTTTTCATCCAGCTTCCATAATCATCCTTCTAAAATGCAAATCTGATTATACTGTTCACCATCTCAAATTCTTTCAAAAGCTTCTTCACTGCCTATAGAATAAAGGATAGCTCCTTAGACAACACATTCTGAACCTCACACACCTAGTCCCTGACATCCTCTCAAAATTCTCAAAACATACAATTACTTGAACTTCCAATGCCATTTCTCAAAAGTTTTTACATGTAAATGGGATCAAATTGAGGAGAAATGTTTAGGTCATTCAGGGCGGGGAACCTACAGCGTCACATGTGGCCCTTTGGATCCCTCAGTATGACCCTTTGACTGAATCCAAACTCCATAGAACAAATCCTTTTATTAATAAAATTATTTGTTCTGTAAAATTTTAATTCAGTCAAAAGGGCACACTCGAGGATCCAGAAAACACATGTGGCTCCAAGCCGCAGGTTCCTGACCCATGTGGCAGCTTCACAGGTATTGTGTAGTCAGTTTCCACCTTGCCCTTATGTAATCTTATACCTAAATTATCATAGAGACTAATTAAAACATAAAGGCATAATTTTTGCAATTACATTAAAAATACAATTTTATATCCTGCTTTTGTACTTATTTCAAGAACATTTTCTATGCTATTACATTACTTTCATATACAATATTTTAACAACTAAAAAAATGTTCTAAAAAAGATGCATATATCTAATAAGTGTAAAACAGTTAAACTTTTCACCTATAGCTGGAGCATTTAGGTTGCTTCTGAATTTTTGTGTTAAATTTAAGCAATGTTACAATAAACACTTCATGTCCAAAAGTGCATTTTATATTTTGGATAGTCTCTGGCACAGAATCCCACAATGGGAAGTACTGCACTCAGAAAGTATGAATAATTTATGGTTCTAATATATTTATGAAATATAATCAAATAATACATGAAAATAGTTTTAATTCCCTGGCGACCCTCACCCCACTCTCCAAGCTTTGTTCCTCAGAGACAATCTCTTTTATTATTCATTTGCTTTAGTTTCTTCTATACTTATACTATTCTTTTCTTATTTATCAAGTATAGATATTATTTATTGACTTCCTGTTATTATAAGTGAAAATTTACTTTAATTATACCACTTCTTAACTCCACTGTTAAATCAGGAGGCTGACTTTGTGATGGCAAATAATACAATGTAATTATAAGTATTTGTAATGTCAAATAAATTATGATGGTTCTTTTTCTCTCAATATTAGTATTTCTTTATATTATTAATCTTAGTCTTCTAATCCAACTTCTTATAGCTATGCCTTTACTTTTAAATATTTATAATTTATTTTGAAACCATAACAAAGTCATCTATGCTAATTGTTTTTGAAATCTGAATATTCAATAAAATGTTTACATTCTGATTATATAAATATTCTTTTTTAAAAATATTATATTCTTTTAAATATTTTATAATTTTTTTAATTTTAATTTTTTCTATTTCACACGGTTTGTATTTAAACAGTGACATATATAAATATTCTTAACTGAAGAAATAAGCAGTAAGTTATGAAAATGCTTCCTTCTACCAGGTACCAATATCATGACCCATAAGCCACTGAAAGGAAAATATTACTACATTAAGGTCAATAGATTATTCTTTTATGACTTTAATTCCAGCCTCTATAAAATCATAACCACCACACGAGGTAAAATACTAAAATTTAAAATTTCTTTACACTGTGGCAAGTTCTAACTTGCCACTAATATCAAAGTCCCATGCCATGCTTAAGTCCAAAGTTAAGACTATTATTTTGTATCTGAGTGCAAAAATTTTTATCATGAACAAAGGGAGTAGACTAAGTTATAAAGCATTCCCACCTGCCAGAGCATCGCGATAAAGCTGCACAAAGTGATTAAAGATATCTTTTGGCAAACACTTTTCATCCGGTAGACACTGTAGAAGAATGACTATCTCGGACTGACCCACTGCATGCATTCCTTTGGTTGTGAAACACCAGCACTTCCTGTTCACATCTATTGATGGAATAAAAATATAAAAATAAAGACATTTCTCTCGATCTTTACTCTTAAAAAAGATGCAAAGAAATCTTTTACAATACAGCAAAGATTAAAATAGATCATACTGAGTCTGTTATAATTCAACTGTGAACCGTCACTGTGTTAAGCCAAAAAACTATTATAGAAAGTAAAACATACCAATGCCTCTGGCTCTTTTCTAAACACTTAGAAAAATGATTGGAAAGAAAGTGAAAAAAATAATAATGAAAGAAAATGCACTTAAAACTTTTAACACCAATTATTAAAAGCAACATTCTATTAATAATAAAATAGGCCGGGCATGGTGGCTCACGCCTGTAATCCTAGCACTCTGGGAGGCTGAGGCAGGCAGATTGCTCTAGGTCAGGAGTTAGAAACCAGCCTGAGCAAGAGTGAGACCCCATCTCTACTAAAAATAGAAAGAAATTAATTTGCCAACTAAAAAATATATAGAAAAAATTAGCTGCTCATGGTGGTGCATGCCTGTAGTCCCAGCTACTTGGTAGGCTGAGACAGTAGGATCGTTTGAGCCCAGGAGTTTGAGGTTGCTGTGAGCTAGGCTGACGCCATTGCACTCACTCTAGCCTGGGCAACAAAGTGAGACTCTGTCTCAAAAATAAATAAATAAATAAATAAGTAAATAAGAGAAAAAAAATAATAACATAAATAAAACCAAACTATATATCCTATGCTATAATAATTGAAGAATATAGTCTTCTACTTTTAAGGCCAGAAACAACAACAATGAAAGCCAATATTATAGTTTTGACTTAAGGTTATAGCCTAAAGAAAATACATTTTTAATGTATATTTATGACCAAAAGATTCTAGCTATTTTAACTACAGTCCTTTCTGGGAGAAGAATTCTAGAAAATCAGCAACATGTTTTTATTTGGCTTCATGCTGTAAAAAGTGGTGTAAAGGATGGCTTTTTTGAACTACTTACTTCCATGCCTTCACTTTAAGGCTATACAAAGCACAAACAGCAGAAGCCATATGTAAGTCCAAAATAATGTTTAATCCTTGACACTTTTATTATTTGTACCCCAACACAATGGGATTCCCCAAAGGAATAAAAAAAAGAGTTAAATAAAATGATGAATACCACCATGTAAATCAATAGAGAAAGATCTCCTTCTTTTACTTTGGGAATTGTTACTTTATATACCTAAACAGGAAGTTCCCAATGATGACATGTACGCTTTAGGAATTCTATGTTAGCTAATTTCTAAGTATAACTTATAAACCAGATATGGCAAATTGATAAATGCATTCTCTATTTTCCCATACCATACTGGAAAGTAGAATCAAGATTCTAAGTTACTATCCTCATTCTCATTCTGATACCAATGAAACTAGTAGCAAGAATTAAGAAGTTTCTTCTGAATTTTAACTTATGATATATTGAAGCTTTACTATGAGTTAACTAACACTTTTCCTCAATAAAGTTTTACACCATGATTAAGGTTTCTGGATTAAAACCTAGCATGTGAATTGTTTGGTCTGCCTGGATAATTTCTCCAACACTAGTTACTCTGGTGGTAAGTAGTAACTTAACACACCCATCTCAAAAAGAATTTAACTCAGATGTGTTCGAGATTTGTTTGGCTCTTCTCCATGGAGATTCACCTACTTCACCCCTGTGACCAAAGGCAAGAGTTTCAGTTAGTTTCACAGGTGTCCTCTGAAATATGTTATTTACACAAATCAACTTCTTCAGAATTCAGTGTTCAGTAAGATGTGGCTCTATATAAAAGACTTGTGTGTAACGAATTTTGAAAGCTTTATTTACTATCTATGAATCAGTAAGCATTTCATTTTAATTTTAAAAATTTCTTACTTACAATTTACAATTTTAACCATTGACAATAAATTTGCATTTAAAACAAATACAAGTGGGTCAGGGCCACCATCCTCTAATTGCTGCATTACTGAAATCTGTGATGGTTTCTCTTCCACAGCATAGTCTGCAAGGGGAGAAAACAATGTAATAGATTGGTTAAAGAGACAAATCAAGAAGAAAATCTCATGGAGGAATAGGCTGATTATTCACAGGAAAGAGACAAGCATGTGATTTACAGAGTGAACAAAAGATCCTGGTTTGTACCTGCTGTACTAGTATGTTAATAGTGCCCAGTCCACTTTGGCTAATAAGATTGTTATCCTACGTATAGACCTCTCCCTATAGTCTAAAGACAACCCTTTTATTTAACAAAAATTTTCCAACTATCATAAGAAGAATTTCACATAATACATGTTCTAAGACCAATATACAAATTAACCCATGATACACAAGAAAGTGATATTTACCTATGGAAACAACATCAAAGAGTTGGAGTAGAAGGGAGCCCTATTTTTCACTCTATTCCCTTTTTTACTATTTGAGATTTTTGATCATTAAAAAATTAAACTTTAAGAAATGAACCCAGAAAACAAAAGTATCATATGTGACTAGTTTCATAAAACAATTCTTTTAAGTACATATATCACTGGCCGGGCGCGGTGGCTCACGCCTGTAATCCTAGCTCTCTGGGAGGCCGAGGCGGGCGGATTGCTCGAGGTCAGGAGTTCGAAACCAGCCTGAGCAAGAGCGAGACCCCGTCTCTACTATAAATAGAAAGCAATTAATTGGCCAAATAATATATATAGAAAAAATTAGCCGGGCATGGTGGCCCATGCCTGTAGTCCCAGCCACTTGGGAGGCTGAGGCAGAAGGATTGCTTGAGCCAGGAGTTTGAGGTTGCTGTGAGCTAGGCTGATGCCACGGCACTCATTCTAGCCTAGGCAACAAAGCGAGACTCTGTTTCAAAAAAAAAAGTACATATATCACTAAAATTACCAGAAATCATATATCAGACTTTGAACATGAACAAGTTAATACTTGAGACTCTGAATATAACCCTTCCTGTTTAATCTCTGGAAACACAGCATGTAGTATTTAGCCACTTCATTTTGAATGACAGTGGTCCTATCAACTTGAAGTTAAAATCAACGGTAATAATTATTACAGAATCTAGAGATATGGAAAAGAAATAGAAACTTCAAAGGTGGATGTTGTTTGGTTGATCGTATATAAAATGTATCATTAAGGGGCAGTCAAGTAGAACCAAGTAATACTATAGCCCACTGACCGACAGAAATTTAAACATTGATTTTTTAGATGTAATAGGAAATATTAATATATATATAAGCAATTATTAGAAAGAGAAATACTGAGTGTAAAAATTTTTTTTTAATGAAGTTATTCCACTGGGATACAAAATTGCTAAATTCTAGTGAACAGATTATAATATATTTTAAGTAAATATATATAACTAGTTGTTCTTTCTTGGTAGGAGAGGTATGTATGTATGTATCTATGTATGTATTTACTTATTGTAACTAAAGCCAAAGAAGTTAGAAGAAGTTTTAACAATTAGATTTCGTGGATATAACATTTTATGAAAATGAAATACTACATTCTAACTTATTTTAACAACAGAGTAGGCTAATTTAATTCCTTATTAATCTAAGATTTATTAATATGACCAAAATTTGAAACCCATGTACCAATTTTACTAACAAAAGAATGCTTACCCTTATGTGAAAGTTCACTGTTGAACTATCTGTGACACAGATTTGATAGTAAAATACATTCAGCCAACATTTGCTGAGAGCCTACTATGTGCCCAGCACCATCCAAGGAGCAGAAGACACAAATATGGATTAAGACTGTGGGAATTCATGGTCTAAGCGAAAGAATAAGATGTATAAAATATTTAAATTATAATGAGAAAAGTGTTATGTAGCTGCAGTCTATAAGAACTGCCATTAGAACAGAGACAAGCAAAACAGTACTTTGTAGGCAGCCTAGGTATGGATTCAGAGAAGAGGTAACCATTTAAACCAGATTTTGAAAGGTTGTGAAGTTCTTCAGAGGGAGTCTAGAATATTGTTTTATTCCAGTATAGAGGGGTATTCCACACAGAGGAAAGGAAAAAAAGAAAAATATTAATTACATGTCTACTTTGTAGCAGATACTTTCTTACTGGGCACTACAGGTATGATATCTAATTTAATACTCACGATGATAATTAAGTAGGTGCAGTTATGTAACTTTTTAAAAAACAGAGTAGGGGCCTGGCACAGTGGCTCATGCCTATAATTCTAACACTCTGGGAGGTGGAGGCAGGAGGATTCCAAAAGTTTTGCCCGGGTAACGTAATGAGACCACATTCTCCACAAAAAAGAAAAAAAATAGCCAGGCATGGTGTAGTCCTAGCTATTCGGGAGATTGAGGCAAAAGGATCACTTGAGCCCAGGAGTTTGAGGCTGCAGTGAGCTATGATCATGGCCACTGTACCCCAACCTGAGTGACAAAGTAAGACATTGTTTCAAACAAAAAAGACTAAGAACCAAACTCAGAGAGGATAAATGACTTGTTAACTGAATCACACAGCTAGAATAGAACGGTACTGGCATTAAAACTCAGGTTTGCCCAATTCTGAAGTCTATTCTCTTCCCATCATTCCACAGTAAAAGAAAAAGCATAGACGAATGAAAGGTGAATACTCAAAAAAACAGCAAATAATCTGAACTATGCATGTAAGATGCTGGTGTAATGGCTGGAAATAAAGTCAATAACAAATGGCTGGAAAGTGGGTTGAGATAAGGTTATAAGGAACATTGTCTACAGAGATAACTTACACTAAAGGCACTGGAAATCCATTAAATATTTCTAAGCAAAAGCAATATATGATAATATCCATATTTTAAAAGATTAACTGGCAACAGTATGGAAGAGAAAATAAAAGAGAATAAGACTGAAGACAAGGAGACAAGGTAAAAAGTGTAGGACAAAATTCAGGTGCAGTTACATAACTGCACCTACTTAATCATCACTGTATTAAATTAGATATCATACCTGTAGTGCCCAGCAAGAAAGTATCTGCTACAAAGTAGGCATGTAATTAATATTTTTCTTTTCTTCCTTTCCTTCTGTGTGGAATACCCCTCTATACTGGAATAATAAACCATCTCCTGAAAATGTATTGAGTATAAGCTGATCCGGATATATCAACAAGAAAATTTCACATAAAGTTAAGCATCCTTTTGACTTGATAATGAGTTTACTTCTTACCAGGTCTCCCTAAAAATATTTTTATCAGTAAAATTGTTATGTAAGTTCAGTGCTCTTCACATTATTATATGTATCTTTCTGAATGTATATCATACCTCAAAACAGAAAGCTAAATTAACAACTGTATCAGGGTGAGCCAATCCTAGAACTACAAGCAACTCTTCAGAATATTATATGCTTTGAAATATTTTTTAAAACTGCCAATAAACTACATTTATACTGTAAGTAATATATCTTTCAAAAAAATGAAAATTACATTATGATATAAAAACATAAACATCATCTACTCTGGGAGGCTGAGGCGGTCGGATCGTTTGAGCTCAGGAGTTCAAAACCAGCCTGAGCAAGAGCGAGACCCCGTCTCTACTATAAATAGAAAGAAATTAATTGGCCAACTAATATATACATATAGAAATAGAAAAAATTAGCTGGGCATGGTGGCACATGCCTGTAGTCCCAGCTACTTGGGAGGCTGAGGCAGGAGGATTGCTTGAGCCCAGGAGTTTGAGGTTGCCGTGAGCTAGGCTGACGCCACGGCACTCACTCTAGCCTGGGCAACAAAGTGGACACTCTGTCTCAAAAAAAAAAAAACACAAAAAAACAAAAAACATCTACTCTAAAACAATCAGTAACAGCAACACTGTTCTCATGGCACTGGGGTAGTTGCCTATTTTGTTGGATAGGAAGGAGAAATGCAGTTATCACCCAAATTCTTTCCCCTTCCCTTAATGAGAAGGCAAATATTTGACATACATAACTATACTTGTTTAAAGATGTAAGTCCACATACCTCCTTTTACACCAGTGGAGATGAGAATGGGAGGAAGGCCATCTTCAGGAATAAGGTTCATTGCACTTCCAACAGGACTTCCAACCTGAGTTATACCCCCAGAGAAGAGAGAAATATCCACCTACAAAAAGCAAATCAGCAAAGTAAGTATTATTCAAGACTTTGGCAGGATATAGTGAAGAATATAAATGGGAATTTAAATGAAAATCTGAAATTTATACTTTTTGAAAGATAGCACAAGGTACTCATTATGCAATGAAAATACAATGAAAATGTTTTCAAATGTATATGGCTCTCCTTTTGGTATCATCAAATCACGTATTGAAAGAAGAGGCCTTATAGCCTGAGTTAAAGATCCTTTACCCAGGCTTCTTTTGCCATAAAAGAAAAAAATTTTTTTTTTTTTTTTTTGAGACAGAGTCTCACTTTGTTGCCCAGGCTAGAGTGAGTGCCGTGGCCTCAGCCTGGCTCACAGCAACCTCAATCTCCTGGGCTCAGCGATCCTACTGCCTCAGCCTCCCGAGTAGCTGGGACTACAGGCATGCGCCACCATGCCCGGCTAATTTTTTGTATATATATATTTTTAGTTGGTCAATTAATTTCTTTTTATTTTTGGTAGAGACGGGGTCTCGCTCAGGCTGGTTTCGAACTCCTGACCTTGAGCGATCCGCCCGCCTCGGCCTCCCAAAGTGCTAGGATTACAGGCGTGAGCCACCGCGCGCCCGGCCGAGAAAAATATTTTTTAAAAGCTGCAGTGGCAAAAGAAACAAAATTTCAATATTATCTCATTAACCTTTATTGCCTTTGGATCTGAGAATAGTGGTGATGACTGCACAATAATGTATTAATACTTGACACTGAATTATACACTTAAAATGGTTAAAATGATATTTTATGTTATACATATTTTATCATAATAAAAAACAAACAAAAACATGAAAAAATAACCTTTGATAAAATACAGAGATTAAAATAGGTCATCATTTTCCATTTACTGTGTAATAAAATAAAACTTCAAGTTCATTTTTCTTTGCATTAGTATGCAGATCATATTAGCTACATTTGATAAATGTAATATTGCAAAACATTTTGGGTGGAGTTAAATCCACTTAATAATTATTTAATAGAACATGCTCGAAGGTCTATTAAAGTGATGCTCTCCTCTCTATATTCTCTACAATTAAACAAGAGATAGAAGCTTTTTAAAAGCTAAAAGAAAAACATTAAAAAGCTATTTTAACATGTATTAAAATAAATGTTCATAGCAGCTTTATTCATAATAGCCAAAAGTAGGAAACAATGTAAATGTCCATTAATAGGAAAACAGATAAATTGTGATATATTCCTACAATGGAATACCACTCAGCAATAAAAAATTAATTTTTGATGCATACAACATGAATAAATCTCATAAATATTAGGCTGAGCTTAAGAGGCTAAACAAAACATTATATATGTTTTTGTTTATGTGAAATTCAAGAATAGGCAAAACTAACTTGTGGTGAAAGAAGTCAGAATAATGGTTACCTTGAAAAAGGGGAAAGCTAGTGTCAGAAAAAGTACATGAGGGAATCTAATGGAGTGATGGAAATATTCTGTATCTTCACCTGGATGGTAGTTACATATATATAATCATTATATACAAAATATATAATATATAAATCCATCATGTTGTTTACTAAAGATGCTCTTCGAACACTTTACTATATGTATTTTATACTTGAATAAAGATTAAAACTATTTCTTAAAAATATGCTCATTTTATCATACTTTTGTCTATACTATCTATAATTTACAACTAGAAGTTTTTAGTAGGTTTTTGCTAAAATCCTCCAGTGTAGCCAATATGGCATCACATAAGAGGAGACTTGGAAAATTTTATTGGCAAAGTATTTTTCTTAATTTCAAAATATTAAGGTGGTACAAATGATTTTGTTACATGAATATCTTTTATAATGCTTAAGTTGGGGCTTTTAGTGTGCCCATCATCCAAATAGTGTTCATTGTACCTGATAGATAAGTGTTTACCCTCCCTCCCTTTCCCCCTGTATCTGATTTGAAGGCCTGATACAGAAAATAACATAATCTATTCAGGTATATAAATCCTCCTTTTAATATCATAATTGATAGTTGGTTGGCCTAGTGGTATTTAAGTATACAATTACATTCTGTGAAAACAAATTTACTTCATTTATTAAGCACCTATTATTAAGTGGCAGGTACTCTACCAGACCATAAAAATGAGAAAAATATATTCCAATTTGGCCTTAAAGAGTTTGTTTTCCTTCACTTTATCAGGTAAATATTAAAATAGAGTGTCGAACAATGTGAGAACACCAAAAAAAAATAATTAACTTGGTTAGTTTCTTTTATACTGAGCTGAAACTTGTTTCCCTATAACATTCATTAACTAGAGCATCATTCATTCAAAAATATTTATGTTTTAAGAACCTATCATAAAAAATAACAGATGTAAAAAACATTAATAGAAAAAAAAACATAACTGATTCAGGCAAAAGTCATCAAAAAATAGTAAAATCATTGGTTGAAAGATTGTTGGGGAACAGGATACCCAGAGCCTCAAAGAATCACCCTCATATTACTTATTAATTGCAGAGAGGAAAAGGTACTCTTGCAATGGAGAAACACCTAAGACATCACATTAACCAGCTATTAAACTAATACTTCTTGATGTGATCCACTAAGAAACGACCACCACTTATGTAGTATTATTATTACTGCCAAAAAATGATTGAGGGCATTATGCAAAACATGGCCCAAATACTTCAAAAACTAATGATATGAAAGACTAAAAAAAAACAGTAGAAGAACTGTTAAAGATGAAAGGAAACCAAAGAAACATGAAAACTAAATGCAACTGTATTCCTTGATAAGATCCTGATTTTTAAAAATAAATTTGATTTAGTTAAAACATTTTTATATATGTATGCACACACGTATGTATAAATGAAAGCTATACAGAACATTACTGGGACAATTGGGGAAATCTGAATATGGATTATATATTAGATAATAGAATTATATGTTAAATTTCCTTCTCATGTGATAATTGTATTGTGGTTATGTAAGAAAATAACTGGTACTACAGTCACGAGCTGAACTTATCAGGTGGTAAAATGCAACCAATTCTCAAATGGTTCAACCAAAAAAAAAAGTATATGTATGTGTGAAGTGGTAAAATGGTAACAGTTGGCAAATACAAGTGAAGAGTATATGAGTGTTCACTGTACTATTCTTGCAAATTTTCTGTGGTTTGAAACTTTTTCCAAATAAACAGCTGTGGGGAAAAAAGAAGAAACTTTCTTGACAAAGTCATTCTGGCGATACAAAGAAGGATAAGACATAGTTCTGGTTCTCATCCTCTGCAGCCACAGAAAAATGAAAAAATATACTTAAGAATATTTGAAGACACATATGACATGGTATGATTTGTATGGTCCCTTCACCAAACAGGAAACTTAGTTCTCTGTTAACAAATCTAATTTTAACAACATGCAATTTTAAATTTAATTACAACCAAATCTATAAATTTTATGTGAAGTAAATATCTGAAAAAATATTACTAAACATAGATAATAACTAACAATTCTATGAAAACTTCACAAATAAAAATTTTATCCAACCCTAATGTAAAATGTACACTTTGGGTGATTATGATGTGTCAATGTAGGTTCAACAATTGTAACAACTATATCACTCTAGTGGGGGAGATTGATAATGGGGAGTCTATGTGTGGGGCATATGAAGACTCTCTGTACCTTACTCTCACTTTTGCTATGAATCTAAAACCACTCTAAAAAAAAATAAAGTTTAAAAACTTTTATCCAAACTTTTATTCTCTTATTTTAAAGAAAAAAGACGAAAACAAATACTTAATTGTAATTAACCACCTTATTATAACCTTGATCATCAAATTCAAGGGAGCAACCAGCAATAGAAAAGGACTCATTATATAAAAGGATTCTATGTTTATACTTTCTAATTTGGGTTCTAGGTGGCTCTATTCTCTCACTGACTTGGAAAAAAAAAAAGGTAGTTGATGTTTGTCCCCTTTTGAAAATCAAGCTTCAAGGAAAGAGAATCCCATTAGTCTCAAAACTGTGACTGATGTTCCTATGGAAACAAGGTAGAAGTGAGAGCACAGTATGAGCTAGTTTCTTTAGGTACATTATATGAACCTTCTATCCATTAAGCCAGTGGTTTTTAGCTTATTTTTAAGTTCTGGAATTTTTTTTTAAAACCTGAAATGGAAACAACAGATAAAACAGAAAAAAGTATAGATGCTCAGGTTGAAGAGAAAGGACAGAAGAGTTCCTAAACCACTCTTCCTCACCATGGCACTCCCGAGAGGCTGCCACAGAACCTGGGAACGTGATTTGAAAACCAATGTATCAAGGGGCCAGAATTCCCTCTAGCTCAACATCTCGCTACAGTGGTAGCCTGAGCTCATCTGAGAACAATCTTCATAAGAACCTGTCTCCTAAAAAAACTTCCAAGTACAGAACTGTTTTAAACATGAACAACTGATTTTTGCCACATTTACTCTTACTTACATGCACGCACGCTAGATTGCAACTAAAACCTACAGAGTTCTACACAAAAGTCACTCGACTTAGAAAAAGGCAAGATAGAGGCAGCACAACACTGAGTAAAGTAGGTACTCACTTTTAGTTGCTGTTTTGTTTTCTTACCTCTGCTGATACAGGACTGGTAGTTACTGGCTTGACTGGGTCATGTGACACAGCCAGGGTTCCTGCAGAGGGAGTTCCATTCATTGTTAATTTGGCTGCATCAGCAACTTCTCCATTGGGCAATATACCATCAGCAAACCACACTCTCCTCTGCTCTCTGGGCTGAACCACTTGAGGGGCCAGAAAAATAAAATAGGCATCAATGTGACATCGGTAGGGTTTCTAACATCAAAGAAAAGAAGGTCACCAATTCCAGGTGTACAAAGAAATCACTATTTAGCATCTTATAATTAGAAACATGAGAACTGTAACTGTGTATAAAAGTGGTTATAAATGTAATAAATTAACTTAAAAATACATATTTAAATATATTCTTCACTTCTATACTTATATGCAAAGATTTAAAACACTGCTTTAAAATATTAAGAGTTCCTACACACATCTACGATTGTCACATACTCTGTCCCGCATCACTGACAGAAACTAAGGAAAGTGTTTTAAGTGCTTAGGAAATAAATTAATAGCAAGAAAAAAAAAATCAAGCAATAGATATCCACATCTCCGAAAAGTATGAGGTTTCCACAGAAATTCAGTATCTGGTACTTTTAAAGGGCAAAAGATGCCCCGAAGAACGTTAAAGAATAATTAGTTAATAAAGGAAGAGTTGGCACAGATATGTAAGAATTGGAAAACAAACTAACCAGATCTTTGGCTAATGTGTAACTGAAGAAGAAAAAGACTGATCTGGCAGTGCAAAAGTAGTTTGCACTTTAGTAAAAGGATAGGGGAAAAGCTGGAACACTGAATCTAATGAATGATCTCTTTAAATCCAGTTTTGGAAATCAATTCAAACAGCCCAAATACAGAGAGAGACCAGGGAAGAACAGCAAAAATGACAAATGAAGTAAAGAGAATAAAGATTTTAATAAAGAAAGCCTGAACTCATAAAAATACAAGTAGTATGACCAAGGGATGATCTGAAAAGAGGGAAAATAGGAAAGAGTATGATAATGTCAATTGAAGTCTATGATCTTCAAAAGGGGAGGCAGCTATTTAGCAAGGGGAAGGGAATATCACTAGATGAAAAGATATAAAGTTAATGAAGATTGATTCTAATTATCAAGGGAAACTTCTTGACAAGATTGTTTTAAGGAAATATATAATTGTTATTTTTACTATTCATAATCCCCTAAACTTACACAGTGCCTTTCATCTGACAATATCATAATCATAAAGATATAATAAACCAAAATAAGTTAAGCTAATAATTTCCTACCTATCATATGAGGTAATTAGAATTAAAGTTCTGGATTTAAAGGTCCACATACCTAACACTGATATTTTCATATTTTTATATGGCTAGATTAAAAATGAAGAGAGAAAATGTCAATGTGTATTCCAAAAAGCAATGCTAGAATGGGCTGGTCAGAAGGAAGAACTCTCATTTTCACCACTTACAGGGGTCCTACAAAGAAAATGAAGGTAGGCATGAGGCTAGGGGATTTTTACAGGCTGACTTCAAATTCTGCACCTCTTTTTAAGTGCAAGCAGTGTAATTACTCCATTCTTAAGTTGAAGAGGAGATTGGCATATTTTCTAAGGTGTCTCCAAAATATCAAGCAACACAATATTATTCTTTACTTGCCCAGAAACAGTCTTGACACATTTCTCACCTTGTTCTTCCACTTTAATAACCACCCAAAGGGACTTATCTGTAGTGTTTTAAAGACTTGTGCTGTAAAGTCACATCAGCACCTTTTCAGAGGAACTTCATGAGGAAAAAGAGAGAGAAGAGCACATGATCCCCTACCTTCTGCTCCAGGGTGCTTTAAAACTCCCACAGGTACCATCACAGTGGGAGGTGGAGAGCTCAGGGCTCCTGAGGCCTGAGCTTGCTGCAAGGGAGGGATAGTAGAACAGTATTCAGCAGGATTGTTAGGGTTAGGGCTCTGGCTTGAGGCACTCATCATGTTCTCCCAGGCTTGAGCTAAAGCAAATACAGACACAATCAATGTGAATGGATTGCAAAATATGGACATCAAGACCTTCACAATATTGGATAAATAATGCAGCTCCTCCTCATTAACACTCATAGTATGTCTCTCTTCCAGCTAGTGAAGGTATTAAGGAGATAGGGGATTTTATTCAATAAAGGAGACCATTTAGCTAAGTAAATATTTGGTTGGACAAATAAGAATTAAATGAGTTTTTAAAAAAAATTATAGGATACTTCTGACACAGACTGATAGCAGATCAGTCTGAGTTAAAGACTAGGCCCTTGGTTCTTTAAAGGAGACCATACATTCCTTTAAGAGGGAGTGAAAGATCAAATGTTATATTTGCAACTGGGATAACATTTAGGCATTTTTTTGGTTTAATATTTAATGCATTTTATAAAGTTCTATAAAAAACCAAAATCGGGGGCTAAAATAGCATAACTCCATTATATAATTTTTAGTTTCATGTCTAGATTTTTAAAGCTCTTCTTAGTTAAGATAAAATCTCACTTAAAAATTCCAAAGCCTAAAGCTCAGGAGAAGACATTTCAACATCTTTGTGAATTCTGCTTTTATGTAATAATCATCCTGTATAAAAGTATTCAGCAATAACAACCATTTCACATCTTTGGTGTGTCTCAAAAGCACAGGACCCATTTGAACATGAAAATGTGCCAATATCATATAAGTGTGATCAACCAATATGGATGATCACAATATGTTAAGATTCTGTGTACTCTATAATTTTACTAAATACTGACATATCAAGTATTGTCTTTAAAGTAAATAGAATGAAAGATGCTACAGAAATGAAAGAAAACAAATTTTATCTCCTAGGTTCAGGTAATATCCACATGCCCAGGAACAGAAACCACCTGATATTTGAGCATCTTTTCAAAAATCTCATTCAATATCAAAGAATGATCTATAAGATTTTGAATATTCATTGCCTCCAAACTACAAGACAAGGCTAGTAACAAAAGCTATGTTCCTTTGAAAGCACTAGCAGGAAGAGGGGAGGAAGAGAAAAGGGGATTGGGAAAAAAGGATAGAGAACACTGAAAAGCATCAAATTAAATATTCAGAAAAAGACCAGTCTAAGCCATGCGAGAGGAAAGACGCTGGAAAAACCAGGAAAAGTGGATTACCTTAGGATCCCCTGTTAAGGGCCTCCTTGTCTTAATAAAAAGTAAGTATTCCATGTGAATCCTCTGCCATTTCCTTCATTTTTAGCTATGCCAAGTTTAAAAAAATAGCTATCAAGTTGGAAGATCTCATCAAATAAAAGAGGTGTATTAGGATACTGTAATTAAGCAGCATGCTCTCGTCTGTGTGTACGTGTCCGAAAATGAAAGCAGTGGAATAAAAATCATTAATTGAGCAACCAAGTAAAATAACCGCCATCTAAAAAGTGATCCTTAAGAGTAGACAGAATGATTCATATTGATCTAAATCATAAGAATTCAGAAATGGGAGGAAATTGGGCAGTCATAGGAAATTAGAACAGATCAGATTAACTGACATGCAACATGTTAATAAGCCAGCAACAGGAAAACATCACCATGAGCAATGCAGACAGACAGAGCAGGAAGGGTCTCAGAGCAGGTAAGTTCCAGCCTCCAGGAGGCGCACTATCTTGGCAGAGGCAACACAGGTGTCCAAGTTCAACATTTTATGTCTATTAGGAATTTTTCTGGCAACTGCACAAAGATGCATTCAAAGAGAAAATACTACAGCCTGATCTATTTATTTTATTTTTTATAAGCATATTCAGGGTTTTCATTTTTAACTAAAATGCCCTAGGAATCAATCATTTCTTGTCCCACAAAAGATGAACACTGGATAAATTTTATTTACCTTCCCCTGGCCATATTGTTACACCACATAACAACTAAATTCAAAACCATTACCCTTATAACAAATCTAAGTAGCATTAAAGAGATAACTAATTATAACTGAAAAATTCAATTCTCTACTTGATCCTAGATGCTAAAATATTTATTTTTAACAAGATGAATAAAATAAGTTGTTAATAAGGATGCATTCTAAGTTATTAAGGTATTCCCTAGAAAGAGATAGCTTCTTTTGAAAGGTAAACCTTGGCCCAATTTTAATATGTCATCATCTAGGTGGTCAATAGTTCCCTATCCCCACTTTACCTTGTCATTTTATAGGAACAGTAACAACTACAGAGCACCAAATTTCGAAAGAACTTCCATTATTCCTCCAAAACTTACCTGGCTTTAGCATTCATTTGTTAAATTAGGTACAGGAATTCTGAAATGCCAAGATACTTTCAACACATGGAAATTTAGTTCAATATTTTCAGCTAAAGTTATGACATTTGAGAAGGTGCGCAACTTGTACAGAAAGGCAGGAAAAAAGTCTTTTCATAGGAATTCTTGTTTTGTCTCAACAACTGTGAAATCAGCCTGTTTTAATACTTACCATTCATTAGCACTGAATGGCAAATTACACACACTCTAGCTTCCTTTCTGTCCATGTATAACAATTTACATTTGAGGCTACAGCAGGAAGCACAAAAAACCTGTGGGGGAAAAGAACATACAAAATTTACTTGGGTTGGTAGTGCAAAGGGAGAAAATCAATACTGACCAAGACTGATTGACAGTGAACCTTACTAGACTATAATACTAAAGTTCCAAAAGAAAATGTAGCTCAGGAAGCTGGGCAATTCAAAAGCAAGAGTGAGATTTACAAGTCTGTCAGAAATTGAAAATGTTCGTTGAAAATAAAATCTTAGCCAAGATCACCCAGCAAATACACAGCAGGAGAAAAAAAAAAAAAAAAAAAAAAACACCTGAGTTACCCTTAGGCAGGATTTCTACGTGCAGTATCACATGACATGGGCATTGAAACACAGTTACATCTGCTATTTTTGTTTGGAAAGGAATTGTGGCAGGATGAAATAAATAGAGACTGGGTTTTAATTTCTGTTGGTTACTATCCTTATGTGTGGAATAATAATCATATTAGCTGCTTTTACTGGTTTGCTACAAAGGCCAGGGATTAAAATATACAACTCAATCATAAAAATAAGCACAGTTCCAGTTCCAGGAAATCAGAGCAGGCAATCAGAATCTGCCCTGACAATTTCCAGCACCTCATTTCCACCTTCTGGGCTTGGTTCCTGATAATCTCACTTCCTTCTCCCTTCCACACCAGCCAACAAGAATATCCTGTTAAGATTCCTGCTAAGATTTATTTTCTTGAGGACTCATTAGTCACATAGAGCTTCACAGAGACAGAAACTTGTTCCCAGTAGAATAAATTCTGCTCCAGCTTTTATGGCCAAGAAGTACCCTATATCTTACAAAGCTGAACCAAGAGATGAGAGGTCATATTAAAGATGAAGTTAGATAGATATCTCCCCTCTTTGTAGGTATAATTAATATATTTAGCTAATATGATTATCAATTTATAATTTTCAAAGGGCTTTACATTCTCAAAACAACTCTGTGACGTAGGGAGAACAGAGTAATATGTATTATCCTTATTTTCTATCAGAAGAAATTAAATTTGGATGGTTAAACGCATTCCTCAAGTTCACAACAAACTATATGAATACTAGGCACTTTACAGGTATTACCTCATTTAATTTCAAAAATTCTGTGAAGACAGTCATTTGCAATGAACAGAGTTAGGTAAACAGATGTTAAGTGCTATGGTCCAAAAGTTCCAAAATTCGTATGTTGAAATCCTGTCCCTTAAAGTGATGGTATTAGGAGGAGAGGCCTTTGGGACATGATTAGGTCATAAAGGCTCTGCCCTCATTAAGAGGACTAGTGCCCTTATAAAACAGGCCTGAGAGAGATCCCTTATCCTTTTGTCCTGTGAGGTTACAGTGAGAATACAGCTGTCTACGAGGAAGCAAGCCCTCAGCAGACACTGATGGTGGACTCCCTAGCCTCCAGATTGTGAGAAGTAAATTTCTGTTATTTATAACCCACCACATCTACGGCATTAATATTTTGTTACAGCAGCCCCAGTGGACTGAGACATTAAGTAAAATTGCTCAGAGTCATACAGCTAGTAAGTAAATTACATGATTAATCTGTATGACTTCAATGATGCTGTTCTTAACTAATATATAATACTACCTTATACTAATTTATATATTTCATACTATTTATATATTTTTAATTGAGTCATGACTTTTCCTTCTGCTTCACCATGACCACGTCAGTCATTAAGGCCTGTTGATTCTCCTCCTTAAATTCTTTCTTGTGAAATTCCATCTCTTCCTTTCCATCATAAATATTGTTGCCTTTATTCAGGCTTTTATTATCTGAGGACTGGACAATCATAACAATCTGTCCTCCTAATCTTCAGATTAGCCTTTCCAATTCATCTTCCACACAAAGACTAAATGACGTTCCACTCCAAATGACTTAAAATTTTAAAAAATAATAATAATAAAAAAAAAGACTAAATGACGGAACTTTTTAAAAAGTAAATTTAATCACATTAAATTTCTTGAAATCCTTCAATAAATTTTCTAATAAAAAGATAAACCCAAGAAGCCATCATTCACTCATTCATTCCACAAATATCTGAGCCCCTATTTTGTGCTGGGCACCACGCTACCCAATGGGATGCAGCAGTGAACAAAACAGACATGGTACTTGCCTTTGTGCAATTTAGTCTATGGATTTCAGGTTAGAATCTAAAATCAAAGAATCACACAATGCCCACTACATAATGTGTCTTTAGTCACAGCTACTCGGAAGGCTTGAGGTGGGAGGATCACTTGAGCCCAGCAGTTCAAGGATGCAGTGCACTATAATCACATCTATGAACAGCCACTGCACTCCAGCCAGGGCAATATAGCAAGACATGCTTTTCTTAAAAAAAGAAAAAAAAACCACAAACAAATATAAAATTACATGCTTCAAAAGTACATGGTGAGATAAAATCATGTAATCTAGGCATTAGCAAATTTGAGACACAGGTATGCATACAGGGAGAAAACCATGTGAACATGAAGATGTCCATCTATAAACCAAGACACAGAAGAGCTCCTTCCCTCAAAGCCCTCAAGAGGAACCAACCATGCTATCACCTTCATCAGATTTCTAACCTCCAGAACTATGAGACAATAAATTTCTGCTGTATAAGCCACCCTGATTGTGGTATTTTGCTAACCCTAGCAAACTAATATAGTTGGGAACTTTCGGAAGTAGAGGATTGTACTTTGGAAAAATAATCTCAACTATGAATGTAAAAAAAAAAAAAGAACAAAAATATCTTTTAAAAAGTAATGCAAGCAAGGGAGCAGCAAAATGCAGTAAATAGAAGGACCCAAGAATACCCATCTTTCTCAATATCCCACAGGCTTAAGAACAGTAAGGAAGGATCCTTTACGTTTCCAGTGAGATTAGAAAAAGGCACAGCAGTTAGCTAGAAAAGTGGATGACTCATCAAGAGGCTACCTAGAATGGCAAATAAACAGGAGACAAGCAAAGGGATGCATTTATGTGGGATCCCTCATACCAAAGAACTTCATGGATTTGAATGTAACATATACCACAAAACGATCACTGGACAGTGCCTGTGACTGACACATATAGAGTACCATAACATAAAATAGAAAAAGAGACCTGGAAATGCTGAGCCCTGCTCTCAAAAAGGCAAATACTTACTTGAACTTTATGCCAAGACTCTCAAGCAAAAAAAAAAAAAAAAAAAAAAGACAAATACTATGATGTAATAAGATGCTCAGGTCATTAGAATTATTACCATGGAGAAGATGGGCATAATCTCAAAGATCTGAACTGGGCTGGGAATGGGGTAATAATTCTGGATTTGAAATTACTGGATAATAATAAATTTGCCCGAAAAGATCAAGATAAAGTTGTCTCCAGGTTTGTCAGTATTTCTCAACAGTGGCACTCCTGGCATTCTGGAGGGCCAATTCTTCATTGGACAGTACTGTCCTGTGCACAGCAGAATGTTTACCACCCCTGATCCTGGCCTACTGAGTGCAAGTAGCAACCCTAGTCATTGTGACAACCAAAAATACCCTACCACATTCCAAACATCATCTAATTATCTTCCCCAGTTCTCTAAGCTAGAGACTGAGATGAGAGTCAAAAAGTAAAGTCAGTTCTAGAAATAAAGAGAATTATGTATCTGTACAACTGAACTTACTATACTGCTAAAATATCTTACCATATACCTTTATGATCACAACACAATCTACTGCATTTATTTAACTTATTCTCCATTTTCCCACGAGTATATAAACTCCATGTAACAATGGACTAAATTATTTTTAATACTGATATCCTCAATGTTATAACTGTGCCTGAAACATAATACTCAGTAAATATTTGCTTATCGCTTCCTTGAAAAGTAAAGTTACTGCATAAACAAACGTAGGAATGGAAAAATAAACATTAATGTGCACTTATTTGGGAAGAGCTATATCATTCATGCTCAAATTCACAAAACAATTTAGTGCTAACCAACTTTAACAATGACAGTCAAACACATATTAAACAATTTATAACAGTAATCTCAAGATTTATATGGCCAATGGTTATGAATGACTTCGTATGGGAGGATCTGTATGACCTGCCTAACTCTAAAGAGACAAATTAAGGTGATTTATAACACACATTCTATACAAAGTTCCAGCTAAGTATTGGTTAAAATGTTCCAATTGTGTCCTTGTAATTTTCCTTAATGTGGCACTTGTAGGTTCCTATCTCAATGTTATTATTCACTAGCCAAATAACCTTATGGGAAGAATTTCAACTTTCTAAATCTTAGTTTCTCTCATAAGTAAAACAGAAATGTTAATACAGTATTCCCTCATAAAACTTTATGAGGAGTAAATGAGGTGATATGTGTGTAGCACATAATAGGTTCTGAAGATACGTTGGTGTCTTTCTTGTTTATTTCCCCTTCCTTTCCTTTTAAAATTTCCCACTAATGGTCTTCCCTATAACAAATCCTACTGCCAAACCGATGAACACACTTTATATTCAAGTACCACTTTGTGCCTATTTAGACCTTCTTAATACTGTGAATAACAATTATTCTTTTGCAATTCTTGAAAACCCAAATCATCAAATTTTTACTTCTTTCCAAATTAGAAAATGTAAAAATTGATGTTCTAGGTCTTCAAAAGGCCTTGCAATTATGACAAAGATAACTGTCATGCAAGAACAAAAAATTAGAGAGGACAGTGCTTATGACTGACCTGTATCCAGCTGTTCACAATGACCAGTGACAAGAACAACTTGTAAAAATTCTCAAATGCAAAAGAGTACTTTACCCCTCCACCACGTATTAGCATATACCAAAAATCAGCACCATAAGATCTAAAGCAGTTCAAACAAACCCTGACTCTACCTCTGTCCAAACACCTGTTCCAACTTTACTGTTATCAATTGAAAACAATAATAATTATCATAGTCACTTAACAGTCCATTTAAGGAAGGGGTTTACAAAGGGTCTCTAATTTACACTTTCAGTATTATTTCCAGGTGAGGCTGTACAAACAGCTATTACACTAGAATT